TGCTGTGAATCTGAATTTTCAACATGCTTATCATATTTGCATTATCATATATGGATTAAATATTACGCTATACAAAAAAAGTCATTATAGGCTATTTTAACCAATGCGCAAACGCGGCGACTGCTCGAAAGACATTGCATGGTAATTTAAGATTCCCGACGTTGATAGCCGATTTTACTAACCCGCCGACTTATTAACCGATTTAATGCAAAACCCATTTTTTCAGGCTTAAAAAACAGGCCTCGTCTTATTCGCCGGGTAGACTTATTCGCCGGAAAATACGGTAATTAATATTAATGAAGAAATTTATATTCTGGTAATTAGTATACGGCCATTCGTTCACGTTTATCATCTGGAAGACAATCATGTACTATACATTGGGTAACACTAACTTGATTTTCAGAGATCAAGCCATGCTCCAATCCAGTCCATGGCAAAATTGTTGGGACAGGCGGTAGAAACTCTTATGCTACAAGCTACGGCATCTGCAACTTTCCATGATTATAGTGTGGACTCGAACATACGCGAATTGATGAAATTCATTGTCAATTCATTGTCTGATTACATTTTGATCCAGAATACATTCAGGATGAAAAAATGGCTCGGTAAGTTGAATATTTTATGAGGCTGAATTACGGAGCAACTTTACGGCAAGTTGGTTTCCAAACTTTTTTTCCGCGAACCCTAATTTTTGTAAAATCACAGACCTACAGATACTTGCGACCCCACAACGAGAAAAACATTAAAAAATCTAATTTATTCTATTCTGAATATTCTATTAATCTATTCTGATGAAAATCGGACTGTAAGTTTGGCGGGGCGTTGGTGTAATGTGGTGTACTTAAACTGTTTTAGTTTCACGTGGTTCCCAAACCTTTTTACCCCCAGCGGGGGCAAGCACCAAATTAATGTTAGAAAGAGTTCGCTGACCGGTAACACATGCCACCGTATGAAGACCACGATGTAAAAATCTCTGAGATTCAAATATTTGTTTAGTTTTAGTACATGTTTAAAATATTGCAGATTACTCCATAATTAATTCGAAAGCTAAACAGAACATGAAAGTAAAATGGGTGAATACTTTGCTGGGTTTCATCTTCAAATATTGAGTGCCCTTTTATTTTTTGTCGTTTTGTTTTTGACTGCATGAAGGGCTTCGAAATTATGTATGAAATACAATATGCCCCATATTTTCGCTTCGTGTTCAAGGAGATTATTTTAAATGTCTAAATACGATCCGATTGCAATATTAAAATTGTTCACCTTTATACGAATGCGATGTGGACAAAACACATATGTGTATATTTTAGAGTAGATGCTCACGATAATTAACATAGAGCTTTTGCAACGAATGGAAACCTTTTTATTAAATGTATTCTCATAATTGTGCTTATTTACTCATTCCAGATAGATATTTGTCAAGTCTCGGAGGTTGCTCCAAGAAAGACTGGATTGGAGAATCATGAGCTCAGTTATAACAAATTTACTCGCCCGCTCTTTCAACTGTGCAGGACGCAGTGGATAAGAAGGAGTGAGTGGGACGCCCTTAGTTTCTGCTATTAAAGGTACCGGTATGTAATATGTTTATCATATTGTACCACCATCTTTCTCTGCTCTGCTACCCTCTTCTATTTTATAAGTATAAGATTATTTTTACTCCAAATCAGCTTAAGATAATTCATAAGGGAAATGAACAAAAATGGATTAAACAGAATCTGACAATCTGGAGTGAAAACAAAACCTCAATTAAGATTAAAGCGTAAAGAATAAAAGGTTTTGCCAAAAAGATGCCTATTGTGTTCATGAATTAAATTAAGTTACACACACACAACAACAACAGAGATATAATAAAATAAAAATAGGCGAGAAAATTTAGATAAGTTGGGTATATTAAACTAGTAAACCGGACTAGTAAACAAAATGTACTTGCCAGTTGCCACTCCATTCATTTTTATCATTACGATTGTCAAATTGAATAATGATTTTGTAAACAACTGTGGACAGTAAAGAAATTGAATGTAGATTTTGTATACAAAAGTGAACAGTATAGAAAAATATTTATCAAGGAGATATCGCCAAGCTGATTATGGTTAGAGTCAAGTGCCAAATTGCCAATTCAATGTTGCCAGAGTTTGGTGCATAATGGCGAACAGTGGTTTTCGAACTTATTTGTATCATCGCTCCCTTACAGTACTTTTTAAATTATCATCCCCCCTAGCACAACAGCAAATGATGAAGTTACAACTAAATTTATTGTAAATCAATTAAACAAATAGACTAATCATGGTGCATGATGTTTCTAATAAGATAGATGAATTTCAACAAGGAATATTTCAAGACATTTTAGTCAGATAAAATCTCAAATCATCATTATTCCCTCCAACAAATATTCCCCTCAAAACGTTGTCTACGCCCCCCTTGTGGAATCAAGAATTTCTGTATTTCTCAATTATTATCGACTTGTCAATGTAAGCTTCACTCACACATTTGCGACTGCAGAATCTTGGCTTAAGATTCCTACTCTGAAAATTTGTTGGGATGCAGTCATTCGGACCATGCTTTGAACTCTGGTGCTGTAATTTGCTAATACTGCAATTTAACACAGAATTTTTATATTTTTCAGCTCTGGATGATCTGGCATCGAACTCCGATTAATTTTATTACATGTATACATATTTGTAAAATAAAGACATTTTGTTATCTTTTGTATTTTATTATATAAATAATGTTAGATTAGTGGGAAATTTCTATGTAGTATAGATCCATACCCTGTCTGTACAACACATCGCCTAACTTGGCCCGACCATATGCCACGATTGTATTAGAACGTGTCGCCTACGTAGGCCCGGTCATATGTCACGATTGTGTTACAACGTATCGCCCACATTGGACCGGCCATATTTCACGATTGTGTTACAACGTATCGCCTACGTTGGCCCGACCGTTTGCCACGGTTGCATTACAGCGAAAGGACCGACGTTGGCCCAGCGGCCAAATCTTCGCTGGAACATGGTTGTTCGCCATTATTGGGCCGGTGGTTCGAACAACGTTCGGCCATGGTTGTTCCGACGTAGTTGTGCTATCTGGGTCAGTACAGTATTTTAGTCCCTCAATTAAACTTGAACTTGGATTGTTATAAACACAGAATTATTTCCAGGATGGGATTCTTCTTCTTCAGTATTTTCCATAGTTCTATCACCAATTGTCGAATTGTAATAGCAAACCAGGTTTGAGATTGACCGACTAGAAAAATCTTGTCTCTGGGGTATCCTTGTAGGAGTTGATTGAATGTGTGATGTGAGCTTCACATAATTAACTGGGATGGGAATTTGTAAATTTCCACGGTGGTTTTTATGGCCTTGGTAGCTCTCTTCCATTGTTTTTGTTTTGTTCAGGTTTGCTCTGTCGAGATGAGTCGCTGTTATACTTGACTGTGAGGTAGTTGAAATAGTAGTTGTTTTGTATACAGATGGCGGTGGCACCAAACTATCATAAGTGGGTGGGGGAGGTAACAAAATTCCATTTTCGAGCCGAGAACCTAACCTTTCACGATCTTCTAATGTCAAATGTGATTGCGTGAAATCATCACATGGTTGAAATAGAGTATGGATGTTGTATGGAGGAGGAAGAGCAGGGCTCTGAGATGCACATTCATTGTCGTGCATTGGATAATTATTCCTTGTATTGTTTACGTCATTACTGTCTATTGCAGATTGGTTAACGATATTCCTAGAAGTCCGGCGTAATTTTCGTTTTATTTTCATTTTTCTGCGGATTTCATGAATGAGCCAAATAATATAGAACACTAAACCCAAAGATCCGAGTACTAAGAACAAGAGTCCGATCACAACAGAACCAACAACATCAAGGCAAACTACACCAATAGTGATACCTATAATGCTGCATGCTAAGCCAGATAGGGTGCGATGATACTTGCAAGTCATCTGAAGTTTTAGAAAATAGGGTGTAGAAAAGAAGAAAAAGATTTGTTTACCATTTTTTATCCCTACTACGTCTTCATTGGTCACGTCCACTTTTGTGCAATCTACTTTTATACGTATGAAATACTGAACAGTAAAGCTATTTTTATACTTAGCTGGTATTGCTAACAAATATTTTTTTTGACCTTCCACCTATAATTATCTCAAATCATCTATTAAGTTTCTCTGAATGTTGCTACATGTTTCACTTTGCGAATTTTGCTTTGATTACTTGATATTGACCGGCCACAACACTGAACTAAGTTGGTATTCGAATGAAAATGCAATTTGTAATGTAGAATGGAACTTTTGTGTTTACGCACACTCGCACAGTACTACGCCTGAGGCCCCTTTGGGATATAAAGATTTCAATCGTTTGTTTCGAAATGAGAATTTTTTTGTAGCATAGCTTAAACAATTCTTATGATTTTTTTTCACTTTTTTAATCGAGGTTTTATTTATTTATCATTGTGGTGTCGTAGTGTTTTGACATAATATTGCAACAACGATCCAAATATTTTTTGTTGTGGTCATTGGTCAGGGCTATAAAGTCGAAGAAACTTGGAAATTAACTTCCTGACTCTTGACTCCAAGAAGTTCAGAATTCTGACTGCAACTTCAAGGTGTTTAAAATTGCAATTCCGTCTTCAAATTCAATGAAAGCGTGCACAACTCCGACTTCATAGCCATGGGTGTGGACAAAGATGATCAAATATTCAACCACGGATCCGTTAGGTGGCACTGCGGAATAAAAATTTTGATTATCAATACTCGCGGTAATCATAATGATATCTAACTTTGATAGAGACGAGCAACTAATTAGCCGTGACGGGATGACAAGACATGTTCAGTGACATGGGTTGTTTATCTTGGATTACCTTACCTGTATGTTACATGCGAATATCGACACTATCCAGTCGCGACTCAAGTTACCTAGAATTACTTCCATGAGACTGGATATAGAAAAACCTGATACCATGAATTGTCATCATCAAATAGGCAACAGTTTATTATCCCTCTGAAATGAAACCAGACGCGGTGGTACAGAGTGACAGTAACAATCAGAAAGAATTCTGGCTCAATTTGTTCTAGATTCGATCATGAAACAATTCGGAAGTAGCTTTAAATACAAACAAATTCAATTTTATTCGGTGAGACTGACTTTACACCCCTTTTGTGAACAATAATAAATTGACGTTTCGTACAGTGCTTTAATAGATTAACAAGAAAAATAGAAAAATAATTGATTAGAGAATTGAAACTTGGCATAGAAAATTATAGTACGGTTAGAAAAAAAACATTAAATGCATCAGCGATTAATGAGCTAAGTAAAACGTTTGAAATTGTACCATTTATCTAGGCTTGAGGGAATCCTTCGCGTTGTTGATTTTATCTAGAATTGATGCGAAATTAACCAATGGAGTTACATATCGGAGGATAAACTGCATCAAAATAATAGCATAAAACAGAACTTATGTTTGCGGATTAATATTATCTTTTACTGATAGTCAACACAGAACGTACTGAATTATTAATTATTAGAAGGTAACGTTTGACTATCAATCTCAAACAAGTAGCATATTAAATCTGACAAATTCACAGCTGTACCTGACTGAAAGATCAACATAGCATAGAATGTATATTCGTAAATTTAGTTAGATACTGTGGATGACAATACATAGTTTTTAGTAGTAAAGCACTCGCCACTGGAACAAATGTTTGCATCAAAATACGCCTTAATTTAAAGAACGTATTTACGGTATACGTGTTTTGATAGTTTCACATTACTTGATCAAGGCACGTTGCCAGTTGTTTCTGGAATATGCGAGGGCATCGATGTGACGGGAACAGGATAGTATGTTTCACCCGCTGCTGCAATGCCCGCTAAGTTTTGCCTTTCGTTCATAGTTGCCAGATTGACTGTTTCAAGTTGAGTTGTCATCGCCGTTTGATTGTGCTGAGCTGTAGACGATGATGGAGAATGTTGTTGAGAAGTTGCATTCGGAGTTTGATATCCGGAATTCGGTACTGACACATGAGGTAAAGCCGCCTGAACAGGATAGTACATAGCTTCGTGATACGCTCTGAAATCTCGTCCTTGCTGGTCCCCTACTAAACTGTTTATAGAAAATGGATGAGCGAATGACTGAGGATCCGGTTTTACAGCAGTTGCTGCTGACATTTGAGCATATTGACCTCCAAATCCTTGTTCTGCTGTCATAAAACCATGTTGTGGAAGAAAATGGTGATGTGCTCCAAGTGGTGCCGGATACGTTTGATACGTAGGCATTATTGGTGGTAGGGGTAAGTTGATTTCAGAAGCTCCTGGGATTTGAATATGTCCGTGACGTGGCGTCAAATTTCGAGGTGGCACACTCCCGTCTGCTTCTTTATGATTTTCAGATGCCACGGATGTTATTGCTGATCCCGAACTGGGAGGATGCAGCGTTTCAAACGATGGCTTCGTGTCAATGTTTTCAACTCCGTTTACCATTTCTAACTGACCTTGTGAATGAACTTCAGATAAAATTTCCTCTTTCGATCCATCCATCATTGGTACTTGTACATCGTCATCATCGATTGAACCTTCACCTTTACGTTGTGTTGCTTTTATTAAAGCTTTCTTTTCGCATTTAAATCTCTTTTGGCGTCGCAAATAACATCCATTCTCAAACATATTTCCTGCTTCTGGGTGTAGCGACCAGTAGGAACCTTTACCCGGTTTATCGGGAGAACGAGGAACTTTTACAAAACAATCATTGAATGACAGACTGTGCCTTATAGAATTTTGCCACCTCTGTTGATTTTGTCTGTAGAAAGGAAACAGTTCCATAATCCAACTGTATATTTCGCTTAACGTCATCATTTTGCTTTCGCATGATTGGATAGCCATGGTGATAAGTGAGATGTAGCTGTAAGGTGGCTTCGCGTGCGTGTAATTTCGCCTGTAGTTCTTATCCTGTCTGTTGACATGCATTGAACCAGGCACCATATTCGGACTGATGGCTATGTTTGGAGCCATTTGCGCCATTGACGGGTACTGATGGGGGGATATCCCCGAAGCCATTGCTGTTGAAATTTGAGGCATCACTGTCCCAGAATGTGGGATTCCCGGATGACCAACATAGTTGAGTCCTGCACCTGAGGCAAAACCTTGGTTGATTGGAGAAGACAGTGCGGCTGCTGCTGTATGATTTGTATAAACAGGAAGCTGCATTGCGGCACTCGCTGCTCCACTAGCGTAAGATCCAGAGATACTTGTCGCTGCGTATCCAGCTGCTTGATATGAAGGATATCTCGCACTTATATCACTTGGTGTACTGAACATTTTCTATAATTTTTGTCACCTCCTACTTCAAAATTTCAGATAAGATCTTCGATTTCTTTTCACCAATTCCTTCTTGCTTACCGCTCAATTTGCAATGAAAGTCTTACTTGATGGCAAACGAAGTAATGTCTTTTTCTTATCAGGTTAGGCATTTATACGCCCGTGTTCGAATTCTCTAGTTATTCTCCTTTCCCCGCTACGCGCCGTAAACCTTATTGGTCGTTTTAATGTTTAACTACGGCGCTGTGAGAAAAAAATGTCCCGATTTCACTTATGTCCACATAGAGCCACTCGTCTCTGTCGAAATGAACATAAAAAAAGCACTTGGCCAGGTATGACACTCATGCAATCGAATGACTTATCCATTCTTGATCTTGTTTGCGCAAAGGCTGTACATGTAAGAATTACAATTTCGACTTCGCAGCGAAGTAGATTTTATGACTAAAAACATTCGAAAAATGAATGTAGCCTAAGTATTTTTCAAATAAAAAGTGTCAGTTAAAAGCTGTATATAATTTTTTTTAAATAAACATAATATTGCAAAATATCAGAAAATTATCCATTCGTGTTCGATTTCATCCTTATGTTCCCATATCTACATACATTTACCAGAGAAGTATAGAGAAAACTGCAATATTTGAACGCCTGTGGTGCAGTGAAAACTAAGGGCCATTTTGGTGATTGAAAACATATTTCTCAAGATTCTTGTTAAGGTATATGGCCTTTGAGAGTTACATTTTACTTGAAAACATGACCTTTTTTAAAATATGTAAAATACTAAAAGATATCTTGTCATGTCTAGATGATTTCCACAAAAAAATAATATTGAGGACAGTCAAATTTCACAAGGATATGACCAATTTAGTCAAATCAAATGACGGAATGATTTTATCACAACGAGCCCTAATATTGATGTGATGCCAGATTCGTCTTCCTAAAGTACACTGACAATATGTACCCTGGAATTATTACTTCTTGTTCATATATATTCATATGATTACTGGTGTCTGTGTTTACATGGTATCGTGGAGTATTTTTGTGTCAACAATTTTCTAAAAGCGTTTCTGCCATGCCTTGTGTTGCAAGTAAACAGGAATCATTGATACAGGAAATTTCATTGAAAGTCAGTCAATATTTTCCCTCAAATATGTTGTTAAATACGATTCACAATCGAATAAATGTTGACCCAAATTGTTTTCTCTGGTTTTCATGCGCTTTTTTGAACTTAATTTACTTACCTAAGGTAAACTGAGATCCAGACGTATTTACTAAGGGTCTGTAGCTACTGTACAGCGCAATTTACCATGGAGGGCACTTCCATTTCATCTGTAAATACTCCAAAGCGTTTGTGTTTTCCCAATTTACATTTATATTGGAATTTACTCGATGTAAACAAAAGAAAATAGTGAATATGTATATTTGTATATCTAGTATATAAGCATCAAATCAAAGTTAGTGCATATTTACCATTTCGTCGATATGTCATCACATAAAGTGGAATAGTACACTTTACGTTTTGTATTTGACCAACAAGCCAGATATTTATGTACAACTATTTACCCAAAAACATTTACTAGAGTCTATAAGTCAGAATACACACAAAATTTGTTTGCCTCAAATATTAACGTTACTACTTTTCCTGCGTTGTAAGTAATGCCGTTTATCAGTTTCATAGACGAGGGGGATGTTGGGAAGTAATAATACGTAGGAACAATTTAAAAGTATTAATTATTATATTCTGAGGCTAAGAAAGAATGGATATAATTAATGAAATATAGATCAATCTTTTGTTTCACTTCGTTGCAATATAATTTGGTAGTCATTTTGTAGAATCATCTCAAACTGGGGAAACATACCCCAAAAGTAGAGTGCAGTTTTGTCAACACTTCTTGATACTCTAAAAAGGGATGCATTGTTTTAATTCTTACTTTTCTCCCCCCTCGTTGACAATAGTTTGAAATTTAAATCGTCGCTGACCATTTTCAATGCATTTTGCCCATGTGAAAGAAAAATGGTAAAATTGGTACAGTTTTAGAAAGCGTTGAGAAGAAATTTTGGTTGTTTTTCAAAAATATTCATAGAATATCTTAGATAATGTATATCATCCAGGGAACATTTTTGAATGAAGATGTCAATTAGATCGATAAAAACTGTTATTCGTTCGTCCGGTAATTTATCTACAGGAACATAAAGCGACTTTCAAACGGACGTATTTAATGATTAATCTTCGGTAAATATTTGCAAGACCTACGTACCAGTACCGGAGCAAACAAGACGCGGGCGATGGTAAAATAGGTGAATCTTCTTCTGCGAGAGGTCGTTAGTCTTTGAAAAACATTAACTGTGTTATTAAAAATATAAAGCAAATTTATACGAATTTTCATGTGATGTATTTGACGTACAAATGGCACATACAGCGGAAAACAATGGGATTAAATAAAAGTACATTTAAAATGAAACTACTCTTTTTATAATTTTTAAGCAGGGAACAATTTCTCATCTAAAGCCCTATCTAGGTATATTTATTCACTAGCAAAAAAAACTATTTTTTTGTACATTTTTCACGATGTTTGATAAAATTTGTCGTGTCAGAGCTCGTTTCATGATGAACACATGCCAAATGTTTGCACAAGATATATACAAAGGACAATATGCGTTATCGAAGCTCGCAATTAAACGCGAAAATGGTTAATAAATTACAGCGAAGGCTAACAAAGAGATGATAGCACGTTCCTCTTTTTGTGAGAGCGTGTACCACACCCGTACCCAGTACTGAGGAACAAAAACCTTTTTATATTCTTACACAATAGACTCTTGCTGTAAATATCTTAAAAATATTATTAAAGATGAAACATTGTTCATTTTCAAACCCCTTTGGTCGACTTACGAGCAAAAATCCAGTCTAACGTGTTATTCATTTTTCTTTGCTATCGCGTCATGCTTCAGCGAATTCGTATGGGTCATCGCAAATATACCTCCAAAGAACAGAGGTCAGACTAAGGTCAATTGATGGAGTTAGCAGGTGGAGTGGGACGTATGTTTAGATCTTGTCGTTGATAATCACACCTGGGTTGGGGATATTATTTGATGAATGGGGAAAATGAAAGGCGTCCAAGACAATATTAAACCGAACACCAAAGAATGTTTTTGACTGATTGATGGCGCACTTCGTAGCGCAGAATTGATTTAAAGCAAATATATATATGTATATATATATTATATTTATTATGGGAATTTTAAACAAAAGAGCAATGCTCAAAAATATGGACACGGAAATCTAGTGACTAACCGCAGTACCGGTTGTCTATTGAATTACACTAAACTTCGTTATTTATTCATTAACAAGCCGTAAATCAACTTGCACATCCTGGATCCGTAGTTATCTAACTAAATCAGTACCTGTAAGACCGCAGCTAAGCAGTGAGTCGGACAGGACTCACGTTATACCACGTGGCGACGCAACAATCCTAGAAAACTTTGGGTGAAACATTGAGCACATCGGACTCGGAGGCATTTGATATCGATTAGTAAATTAGTTTCGATAAAAAACGATATTTCCCAATATACAATTTAGTAAAAAGATCGTTAGAAAAATAATTTTATTTTTGATATTTTATATATTTTATTTATCTTGTGGAGTAAAATGTCTAATAACGTATGAATCCCTGGCGCCGTTGGATAATAAAAATGGTGTCTTGTGAACTTTGACGATATCACTTCTTGGCCAAAGTATACATCACTCGAGTACCCGACACGTTATGCCCGTCAAACAAGTTATAACCGAGTTTCCAGTCATGTCGGCACAATTTAATGATTTTTGGAAATAGCAGTTTGTAACTGGAACGTATTTTATCGCGATGTTTGTCAATATTTGAATAAGTACGTTATTGTGTCACAGAATCTTGCTTACTATCTCATCCATTTGTTGCCGGTGGTTCACGACCGGGCGTCATGCAATTTGAAAGGAAATAAAATGTTGTATGAAAGCTATAAGAGACAAAAACTTTGGCTATTGTTAAAATTAGAGAATATGTACGTGGACTCGAAGTAAAACTATTCTGGAGGCATTGAATCACGAGTCCCAATATAGCTCTATCATATATTTGTCGAGATCGAAAACCTCACAATTTATTTTTTAATTCTAAGTAACATTCACATTCTTTTCGCTCAAATTCTGTACAAAAATCATCATGAAATATAATTTAGAATCTACAAATTAGCCCTTTGAAACATTCCTCGTACTTTCGTTGCAATGGGAAGTTTAGTGCAGTAATTTCACGTACTTAGTGAATGCAATTGAAAAGATAGTTCTACATGTGGCACAGATCAATCAATCATATCTCGAAGGTCGCAGAAAATAATTTAAGTGAAAATGTTATTAAGGTGCATTCATATGTATATGTATTGTCCACCGTTGCCAGTTGATTACATGTTCGCACTAACTAGTTTTTGACAGGCTGTTTTTGACTTGTCACTCACACCGTTACATTTCTGAGCAAACAGAGGAACTTTTTTAGAATGCCCCCACCCCTAATGCAAAAAAATGTGAGATTTTAGAAAAACATTCCCGCCACGTTTAAGTACTGCATATTGCGCTTGTCACGCTTCAAGTTATTGCGCGTTCGTTAATCCTGACCCTGATATCGCGGAATTCGGCGGATGAATTCCACCACCAAAGAAAAATTGTAACTGAATCTGAATTTTTTTTTTTGAGCGGGGATGAGGTTTTTTTCGGCGGGTCTTCCTACCAAATGATACCAAACGAGTATTGCGATAGCAACATGAACATCGCTGACTATTATTCTCGGGTTTGATCACTGACAAGTTCACTTTATAACCATTTTCATCGACAACATTTCTATAGAATATCAAATCGACTATAACGAACAATAAAAATTCTAATCCTAAATCATAATTATAGCTCGTCCTTCGGCCAAGTTTCTGCATATATTACAAAATGGCTCGATTAGGGTGTGAAACAATTAATACAACTGAGTTCATTTCTAAAGATAATTTGAGATTAGAACACGAAGCACAACAGCCCAAACAAATATTTCATTCGCAATGATCTCTATTGAGATCACTATTACAGTATATCTTTCAATCTGTAAACTCCCGGTACAATTTTGATCAGCTGTTCTGAGTTTATTCAACAGTTATTCATTCAGTATCTCTATACATATAGATATTATAGTAGTTTACATTTGACAAATAAACAC